ATATATATATACTTATTTACAACTACGCGTTAAGTAGAGCCATCTACCAACACCGACCACCAACAAAATATTTGTTAACTATTAACAAATCTTATTTGGTGAAAATAAATACTTTTTTCAATACACTAAAGCTTCTTAATAGTTACAAAAATTTTGTTCTCATAAAAAATTGATTTAGTTAATACTAACGAATATTGTTTATAGTAAAAAAATATTTTTTCCACCCAAAAAAATATCTGAAAAAAATTTTAATAAATTGATTTATTAAATACAAACAAATCCTTCTATCAGTGTTGGTTTGGATCATTCAAAAAGTTTATAATTCGACTTATTAGCGACATAAAAAGTTAAAAATCACCCTCTAAAAAATAAGGAGAGACCAATTGCTAATTAGACCGTCGATATGTCAAATAAATAAATTACATTCAAATCTACTATTTTTTTTATAAAATTTACTGTTGTATTTATTTTTTTCTCAAAAGAACTGAAATTTTGAAACTTTTAATTGATTTAAATGCTACTAAACTTATTATTTTTATAAAACTACAAAATCTACATCCATTTCTGCTGCCAAATATCCTTTGTGTAACTTTCTGTAAAGTAAAAATAAATATATCAAAGTAAATTAAAATGAAAAGAGTGTCTTTGATACACACATTATGCTCAGAATGGGTTTATGCCATCATTAAATTCAAAAGACAGCGCAAAATGAATAGAATGACAGTAAAGTCACGTTTATAAGTTTGCCGCGTGAATAGCATCCCATCTTTACGAGTATTATTTAGCTTGTACCCACTTTACCAGGGAATATAAATTGCCATATTTACAACTACACGTGTTCTATATTCATATTTATCGCCAGCTTACTTGTATATTACGTAACCTAACAGTAACGCAAGTGCCGAGACAGAATCTAATAAAATTTTTAATAAAATTTATCGTAACATAACCGTCGCACTTCGAAGATCTTCCTACAAAAACAATTTCAAAACAACTATCGGTAATGCAGAAATCTTTGTGACCAATCCGCGAATTGCCCCTCCTCCGCTTGCGCAGTAGATCTGCGCAATAAACCGCAATAAAAATGAAAGAAGAAAAATATTTGTTCTACTTAATAAAATATTTTAATTTGATTTCGTAACTCGAGCACAAATTTGTTTAATAATTCTTATCGATCGGTGTAACGACCTACCCAGAATTTATTACTCAATGTTGTTCTTATCAAGGTTGCCATGAGGAAATAATACCCGGAAAAAATTAAAGACAATGAGAGCAAGTACAATGCCCGATAAATAAAAAATAAAAATATTTTATTAAAAATTTATTTCTAGTAGATTGTAAGATTGTAATAATATTGTTGTTGCAGCCAATAGCGTAGAATAAAATAACATAAAGGGTAAATTGAAAAAGTGCAGGTGGAATGAAGGAACAGCAACAGCAGAGCGAGTAAAGCGAGTCCATTGATCATCGATCAAATCGAGGATAATCGACCGCGAACGTTTCGGTCAACGAACTGTTACGATATCGCCTATTATTGTTTTTATTGCCAATTATATTTTTCTGAGTTAGAATTAAATTGAACTAAAGGAAGATATTTTAATTAACGCTACGAAGGATGATTATTGATTATTAAAAAATAATATATCGGTGGAACAATGTTGACAAAAGCACGTTGTTTATGCTTGTTGCTTGTTGCCGGATAATAGAATAGCGAAGTATTGTATGTTACATATGGTGTATTTGTAGTATAATGGAGATTGACTAATAATTATCAAGCACAGCCCACCGATATGTTTGTACATTAGATAGATTGAATGTGATGACCTACATGTTTATGTATCGTATGACGATTGCGTTATATCTACTGTGAACGATGTGCTTGTATTTACATTTATACTTAGACTGAGACTAAATAACATCAAGGTATGCGTTGTTACATCAATTTATTGATTTTAATGACACAATATCTATTTTTAAATACTTGAGATGTCTTTCTTTTGATTTTATGAATTTTAAATGAGAAAATTGTAGATTTTTGATAATTAGATACAATAAGCCATCAAAAACAATTTTTTTTTGAATCAACAATTTGGAAATTAAATAATTAACATTAAAAATTATGAATTGATTTAAAAAATTCAAAATTTTTTAATTAATTGATCTATATTATTAAGAAAATAAGAAAAATTTTGTAGCTAGTGTATTTCTTATGATAAAACGGGTTTTTATGGTTAAATTTTTGATAGTCAATTTTTTATAAGTATTTAGGCTGCATTCGAGAATGCTCTATCTGTAGATACATAATTAGGAAATGACCTTGTATCTCGTGACCTATTGACATTTTTAAAGATATAAGCTCACCCCGACGTTACACTCATCGAGACCTTTCATTTGAGTACCCACATCAATTTTTCATATATTTTATATATTTATATATTATATATATATGAATATGTGAAAAATATATAAAAATGCATGTGGGTACTCAAATGAAAGCTCCTGATGAGTGTAACATCGGGATGAGCTTATATCTTTAAAATATATATAATATATATATGTATATATGAAAAATATATCAAAAATGCATGTGGGTACTCAAATGAAAGCTTTTGATGAGTGTAACATCAGGATGAGCTTATATTTTTAAAAATATCAATATTTAAAAATGTACAGTGCAATATAACAAAAGTCATTATTTAATAACACAAAATTTTATTTATTTATAGTTCACAAGTCACGGCAGTCACATAATGACTGCAAGGTTGCTAGTTAATTTTTAAATTGTCAATTAAAAATTGAAATTTTAAATCCAACAATTTAATTTTTTTTTAATTTAAAATCAAACAATTTATTTTTCTTCATTCTTGAAGAAATGATAAAAAAAAGCAAATGAATATATACATGTTGTATTAAAACAAATTTTTCTAATAAAGTCACCAATAAATAAAGTATATAGTGTGTTTACGCACAGTAGAATGAGTAACCGAGAAAATAGTGTGGAAAAATTTAAATTTTCTAGGTAAATGAAAGTATGATACAAGGTCTTGTGTCTCGAGTCTCGGGATTTAAATATACGTTTAACAGTATACTTAGACATTGCACTGGATCTCATAATATAATATAATATAATATTATATGGACATTACGCGTCCCGAAGTTATAAATTTCATGATACTTGTCAGTTACAACACAACACAGCTCTATTCATAGTCGCAATAAGTATAACCATAAATCGTAAGTGCAGTGGTAATTGTATCGATAACCGTGAGAGCTCGAGTGCTCGGTTTAAACGCTAGCAATTCATTCTAATGCGAGTAATATAATCGAGCGGAGGTTCAGGTAAAAAGACTTTTTATTTAACTTTATACTTTTATTGCTCATTCGAGTGAGATCAAGTGCAACGTCTGCGTCTATACATTCCGAACTTATTTCTTCAGCCTCTGTTATTTCTTCCTCCGTTGCTCCAACGGTCCGATAAATCTAATAAGCTTACATTATCCGAATGTTAATTAATTATAATGATACTGAATAAAATAAACCACTCAATTTCTTCTTTGTACGGCCAATTGTTGTTATAGGTCATAAGTTACAAGTTCTAACGCTCCAAATGACC